TCCTGTCACATGTACCGACGCAGGCCTGTCAGACGAGCTCTAGTACGCCTTCATCATCATCCCCCATCAGGCTCCAAATGTGCTGCTTTGATTTGATTTTAAACCTACTTTAAACACCGTTCTGCACAGGTGCAAGACAAAAATTGAGAAACTGTAAAATGAACTGCAGGCTATGCTCACGCAGATCAGATAGTACTAAGAAGTTATCAGAAAGCCATTGAAGGATACATACAGCAGGGCGGAAAAATCTCTCTCAAACTGATGTCCAGAGTAGTCAAAAAAAAAAACACCTAGTTGGTAGAGGTTCTAAAAATGCAGTTGGTGAATCGAATTATATATATGTACATGTTGAGTTACCATTTTTCTCCCAGTGTTGGTAGCACCGGTGGGCACTTGGAAAATGTTGCATGTGTAATGTTGGTTAAAGGTTTGCTTGAATTTCTTTTTTTTTTGTAAATTCATAATTACAGAAGTCCACTTTTGTTTTGAGATACCTGATGTTATATATGATGTTATAACTATTTCATGCAACACAGAGGACATTTTTGGGTCCTACTTCTAGCCATGGGTGTGCTGTTTCCATAGAGGTGCAGGACTTCAGAGGGCGTTCTGATGCGGGAGACATAAATATTACATAGACATAAACTGCTTGGGGTCCAGAGTGTTAATACTATAAATATATATAATAAAGGCTAGATGTCTCGTCTGCGCTGTCGGCCAATGGAATCACACAGCCACACTGGCGGCCATCTTGCCACGGTGCGCTCGCTCACCCATAACATTGTGCTGTAATGTTGCATGTACTTTTTAAAAACCATAACTTGCTCAATTTTCTACCCACTTCCAACAGTTTGGTTTGTTTTATAACACTGCATTTATGGATAATTATGTTACACTCTCAGGGTCAGTAACAACTAGTATTTTAATAATTTTGCATTTTGTTTTTGCAATTTGAATTGTAGCCACGTTAATAACGTTTGTAAGAAACCAAACCGTTTGTAAATCCGTGAAGATTTCAGCGAGATAAGAGTATTTACGTTTGTGCAGATCACTCACCTTCCTTCCCGTACCACAGGTTCTGCCAGAGAGTGGCCCCGAATCAAGATGACCGAAGGGTGATCCCGTTCGAATTGCTGCCTTAAGACATCTAGCCTTTATTATATATAATAAGCCATAGCTCCATTCTGTTTTATACTATGTTTACTGAACCCAAAGCGCCCACAGCTTCTTCTTTTTTTTTTCATGTTCCTGGTCTTTCTACTATTAAGACTGTCTTCCTATCACTTAACTGATTGTCACTGTCCTCACTCTCCCTTCACGTTAGGGTGACATTGGTTAAAACTGCCAACAAGCTTGCTGGGAGTTAGACAGCGGTCTGGCCAGAAACTTTTAAGAAGCCGACAAATGAAAATACACAGAAAACACACATCGTTCAGATCGTCCAAATACCTCTGGATGTGAAAATAACAATTCATAAGTACTGACAAAGCGTAACAGCTTGGCGAACGACAGCCTTTCTTTTGTTTAAAAGTGCATTCAGAGGAGCAAGTTGTTTCTTAACATTCAGCAAAATCCTCCATCTTGACATAGAGGAGGCTGTGGGGTGAGAATGCCCTTGAATGACATTCAAAAGCCAGACTTTTATTTAAAACTAATTGTGGTGCAGCTCCAGACGTTTCTAGTCGCTCCAGACATGTGTGTGTCGACTACAAGTGTGAGTTTGCGGTACCAGGAGGTGCTGGCGTAACGTCCAGCGTGTGACTGAGCGCGAGGCAGCCCGTGTGCCTGCCTCCTCCGTGAAAAAAAAAAAGAAATGACAAGTGGCCATTTGGATTCTCTCTGATCCTGTACCCCCTCATTTAATGTCTCCATCGTGCAAGCAGCAAGGCAGAAAAACTTTTTTTTTATTCCCCCTGTGTGTGTGTGTGTCTGTGTGCATGTGTGTGTGTGTGTGTGCGTGTCTGTGTGCGTGTCTGTGTGCGTGTCTGTGTGTGTCCTTCTCAGTGAATAGAGCATTAATTGCATTAGCATTACAGCTGGGTGATTTCCAGCCAAAGAAAACTCTGGCATCAACAAGGAAGATATTTTCAAAGTCCTGAAGTGTGTTATTATTTTTATGCATTTCAATTGAAGAATTATTTGCATAAACAAAAAAAAAAGCATGACAGAAAGAGTGAAAGAAAAATGGGACACCAGGAGACGTCTGAAGCAGAGAGACAAGAAGATTGTACTGAGTAATTTGGCCATGTGAAACTGCAATGTCGCCATTTTGGGGGAATATGAGTTCCTTCACTGTGAGGATTCAGATGACCAAACTGTGAAAACTGCCAGATGAGAAAATGCAGCTTTTTTATTTAGCTTAAAAGTCGATTTTTTGAAAAATATTCAAACATGTGGCACAACTGTTGAAGTGATGAGGGCGCTGAGGTAGAACAAATACTGTTGAGAGCTGCAGCACTCAGTGTTCTTTCTTCAGTTGTTGTAGTGCTCGGAACACCACGAACCTCCACACGCTCACAGCAAATCATATATTAGAATATTTTAAAGTGATATCTTTAGTTACTCTGATACATATATATGTTCTACACAGTGAGGTGTTGGGAAACAACTTACTACGTGAACAGCTTTCATAAGACAGTCCCTCCTCGATGCTTCTTATTATGTCCCCTATTATATTGTATTTAGACGTATTGATAATTCTGTAATACGAGGACAATTTTGCACCTTATTTCTTCTACTAGCACGATTACTTTGCACATCATTTTCCTATTTTTTTTCTGAAATGTAACATGTATGAGCTGCTGGATACTTTGAATTCTTTTTATCTCTTAAAAAACAAAACAACAACACATGGTGTCGCTTTTAATAATACTGCTTATGTGCAATCTCCTGCCCATATTTATTCTATTTTATTGGTTTTTCTTTGATCTCCTTACCTCCTCACTCTACTGTATATATCTTGCCTCTTTTGCATATGTTGCAATTCTTAATATAGTCTTGTTTTATATGTACATTTGATTTTATTATTTATGGTCGTTAATTTAGCTCCTTCAATGCACCGTCCAGAGGCAGCTACTTATATTGCCCCATGTGTGATGACAATAAAGCTATTCTATTCTTACCAGGGTGAGATCTGGTGACTGTGATTCATATCATATTCATACTAATCAAACCTTTCACCGACCCTCGTGCCCTGTGGATGGGGGTAATGTCGACCATCAGCAATGAAATGTTTCATCACAGCATAAAAGTGATCAGTCAGAACAACTCTCTATTGATTCCCAGTGACCCTTCCCTCAAAGGGGAGAATTAGACCCAAACCATGTCAGCAAAATGTCCCCCAAAAGCATATTAGAGGTCCTGCATCACCTCGCTGTAGGGGTCGAGATATGTACAACGTGCATCTTTCTATATTCAATTAAAAACAAGTTAGAAAATTTCTGATTATAAAGCCAGCAATACTCCTGCGATAAGTGTCCTAGCATGCATTTCCTCTAGAGGCCCCTAGAGACGGGCTCAAGTGCATTATCTTAATTTTACATGACTCTAAGTGACGTTAGATGGGCATATAAAAGTCCACTTTTCCTCCTCATGCAGGCAGAACTCAACACAACAGTCAATACGTTTGCATTATTACCGGTTATTGACGGCGTCTGATTTTCGGCTGAGATCTGGAGTTTCAGCTAAAACCTTAAAACTGTCTCTAGTAGCAACATTCTGATTCTAAACACAGTAAAAAATCACTAAGTGGCTCAAACAAAAGCGTACGCCCGCCAGGTGTGTGTGCCCCTGATGGAGGGAAATTAATCAAAATGCAAAACAGTTTTGAGCTTAATTTCTCTGTGTTTATGCAAATACTTGTGTGTCAGAGAGAGAGAGAGAGAGAGAGTGTGTGTGTGTGTGTGTGTGTGTGTGTGTGTGTGTGTGTGTGTGTGTGTGTGTGTGTTTCTCTGAGAGACCAGCAAAACA